GGAGAGAGAGAGAGAGAGAGAGAGAGAGAGAGAGAGAGAGAGAGAGAGAGAGAGAGAGATCATGCTACCCTGACGACCCGCGCTGCCACAATTTGACATCTTCTGTACAGAGTTTCCAAGCGCTCATGGATGTCAAGTCCTTTCCTGCAATATTCACAGTTTTTTTCCGCTCCATGACGGCCCGCGTTCAGTAACACCGGTCCCATTATATCTTTGATATATGAAATTATATGCGAAAAACAGTCCACCACCAGCCTCGCCATTTGTTGAGAGTTTGCGTCAGCAACGAAATTTTCAAAAATTTCCGTCGTCAAAGGCATAACAGAAGATTCTGGTACAGCCGAAGGTGCTTTTCTGGCAAGCACGCAGGGGAAGTTGTGACGCACGTGGTGAGATTTCAGTGCGGCAACATCACTGCACGCAAACACGACATGTGGCGCAGGCGCATCCTTCCCAAGAGTGGCCCCATTCCCCGAACACACTCCGATTGGTTTGTCAGGTTCCTCTCTTCCCTTCTTCGTTTCACCTTCTCCACATCCCATAACATCTCCTTCCGTACATGTCACCGTCAGTTCCCCAGCCAACATCCTGCCTCGAGTGTGTTGCAGGACATCCATTACGTCGGAACAACTGCTCAGCAGAGTCGCTATTTTTTGAGAAAACTCGTCATTAACAGACCCGACACGCACTTCACTCAGACCGTGCTCGTCAACAGTTTTCGAACAGTGGCGAATGCAGTCCTCGGCGAAGGCTAAGAGGTCAACGACGCTGCGTGTCGTCGTAGGTAGCGAACCTGTGTTGTAATCTTGGGAATTATACGATGCCCACCCCTCCATGAGCACACACTTTTCGCAGCTGGCAAGACACATGACATCCCCTCCGTCTGATTCCCTGTTTGTTGTCTTCGTGACATGGGCGGAGAACCACTTCAAGACGGCGGTGCGCCTTTCCTTTTCAATATCCAGCCATGCCTGAAACTCGTCGAACGTGGTGTTATTCATTTCAACAATTGCCTGAAGTCTGGCTGACATGTCCTCCCTCAGACGAGTAACGTCTAGTATATCTTTCGGGTTGTCAAGCAACAACCAGAACACGGTGAACATCCTGTGCTCCGCAGTTTCCGTCATTTCGTCGAGAAGCGACTTGACGCGGCGTAGTTCGTCTGACATCTCACTAAGCAGTACTTTCTGCTTATGCACCTCCTCTGTTAGCCTGCCTATATGTTCTCGGTCGCTAACTACAGTCCGACCCCTGTTTCGATCCGTTTCAGGTGTATTGTGGTCCTTGCCGCCTGGGGGAAGGAAGTCATCCATCCTTGCATGACACTCTCCGCCCAGCTTCCTTTTCTGCCCGGTCGTGGTGAACGTTGACATCCGGAGAGCAGTGTATACACAGACAAATACGTGGACACAGCAAGAGAGAGAGAGAGAGAGAGAGAGAGAGAGACAGACAGAGAGAGGGAACCTCACTGCTTCCGTACAATGGCGCCAACAGTAGTACGTACAACTCAACATGGCGGACTCTTTTTTCGAAACGCAAGCGTCAGAACCAGGAATTAAGCAAGACATCAACGCCAGAACGCATGCAAGTAAACACATATAAATCGGACGCGACAGGGACACAGAGAGACAGCCCTATTCCGGACGCAGGGATAGACCCGCAAGCCACGAACAAAGAAACTCACGCACGGTCACCCATTCTGATGTTAACCGAAGTTGGCTACTGCGGGCCAGAAATAAACATATGCACATCGATGCGTGTGCCGATGACCCGCAGTAGTCAACCTCTCTCTCTCTCTCTCTATCTCTCTATCTCTCTATCTCTCTATCTATCTATTTATCTATCTATCTATCTATCTATCTATCTATATCTATCTATCTATCTATCTATCTATCTATCTATCTATCTATCTCATTGCTAGAAAAAAAAGCGAAAGAAACGATAACGCTGCAAAGGGAAAACAAAAAAAAAATTACAAACAC